AAGAATCTAGACTACAAAATCTGATGTCCTTAAAGCCATTCATTTAGAAGTATGCTTTATTATTATTATTATTATTTTTTTCTAATGGAGAAAGCACACAAAACATATTCAGAGGATGATAGGTGGGAAAGCTATCCCTTTTTGAACGTTAACTCTCTTTGTTCTCTTCTTAGGGGATACGGCATTGGCATAAGGCTGATAGATGATTTTTTAGCTCACTCAGATGTAAAACGGTGTCGCAGTTATTCTGAAACGGCAGACATGATTGCACAGGTAATTAAGATTTATGTTCTTTAGAGCTTTGTTATCCTCAGTTGTCTTAGCTTTTCCTTCTCTATCAGTTCGCTCCAGAACAATGTTACTTACATTTTCTGCTATATGAGAATTGTCTTATCTCTACAGTCAAACCCATGCTTCACTTGTGTGAAATATATCTTTTATTCTACAATTTCACTTCAGCTAGTAGCTCACAGAGTTTCTTCTTGAGAGAAGATATCAGTCCCTAAAGCACCAAAACATCGCACAAAAATTGTGATGCTTAATGAAATAAGAATTTTGCAGTTGATTATGATAATGGTAAGTTTGCTACTGGGTCATCAGAACCACTGAACAGATTCATGTCAGTAGTAGTTTTGTATCTGAGTTGAGGACAGAGATGTCACCAAAATCCAGATATAAAGCTCTCCAAACCAAATGATAGTTTAGAAAGCTGACATTATTTTATTTCAGCTCTGAGTGCATGGGGGATCTCTTTTCTGATATGCATACACAGGAACTAAAGCACACTTACATACATTCAACATATCATTATTCAAACACTTGCCATGAAGATCCCGCCCATTCCAAGAATTCTAATACATATGTTAATACATTGCAAAACTTGCAACATCTGGTTTCAGTACTTCAGTCAGCTGATAGTGTTTATCCCAGCCAGCAAAGCCAGGGTGTAAATAAGCATTCTGCTTTTTTGTTACCCACATGATTCTGTAGCATGCACTCCAGATTCTCTAAACCCTTTTATCCTGTTCTTGCCCAGACCCTCTTATGTTTGCTTGCTTAGGCCTACTTATCTTGTCTGCTACAAAATTTTACACAAAGGAAGCCTATCCTTTCTGTTCTTTACATGCCAACTAAATTGTCTAAGTCTTTGGTATCAGAGACTGTGGGATACAAGCTGTGAGAGGTTGCTGATCCCTAACCTTAACTCACCTTAAAGTCATTCAATAAGCAATAGCTTAATATAAGCTTATATAAGTTTATAAGCTAATATTAAGTCCTTCTATGAATCCAGTCTTTTCTACTAGCCTGTGAGGTATTTTCCATTAGAACAGTTTAATGTTTACTTTTGTTTACTGCTGCTTAAGCTGATTTCTTCTGCTCTTTCCACAGAATCTGACAACAAAAAAAAATCAGTTTTACTAGTCTTCAAACTGTATATTCCCCTCAATTTTTATTTTCTAGGAACTTATCAATCAACTCATAACACTTCTTAAAATTTGGTATTCTTATTCTTGCCATATGAACCCTTCAGCATATCCACAGTTTGCTCAGATGTTTTTTAACCATAGAATGGTAATATTATGAAGAAGCTGATGAATTTTCTGCAAAATGAAGACTCGATGGCAGTAGAGTCACAGATCTAATGATAAAACAAGCAAACAAACAAACCCGTATAGGTACTTCTACCTTCTTTGATAGAAATTTCCCTCTTATTGAGTAACCTTTCACACTACTGGCAGACAAGAAGATCTAGGAGAAAATTGCGGAGCAGTAGGGAGGTTTCTTAAGATACAGCTTTGACACTATGCTAAGTCCTGGGGAAGCTTGAAGAGAAACCCGTAGGATGTCGTTCCCTCCTAGACTGCAGAGTCACTGCAAAGGAGGTGGTAGTTCATAGAAATGGAGTTGGCTCAGACCTTTGCCCAGAGAGGTTGTGGATGCCCTGTCCCTGGAAGTGTTCAAAGCCAGATTGGATGGGGCCCTGGGCAGCCTGGTCTAGCATTAGATATTGTTACTAAAAGCCAGTCAGATCAGTTACCTAGTGGAATTTAGGGGTCACTAAATTTTGTCCTGAAGTAAAGTGTGTCTTGGAGTCTAAAATGAAGATGATATACAACAAAGATTATTTTTAGGCAAAACTGAGCCAGGGTAGAGGATCCATTGGTGGTTGAATGAAAAATGTAAGGCAAGCAACAACATTTCAATCACAATACCAAAATATGCTGTCTCATTAGAAGAATGATACCAACCTGCAAATTCACATTTTTGTTCACTTTTATGTCTTTCTTCAGCTGGAGTATGTTCTTTGTTGCCTCTACATGTTCATATACATGGTAGATATCTGATTTGCTGATTCTTGCATTTACTTGTTGCTTCCTTTTGTAAATTGCTGTAGTATAACTACATCATTGTCCACTACAGGAGATTCAGAAACAAAATATGGTAAGAAACTAAAGAAAAATACAGTTATCCTTTTGATACTTCAAAGGACGCTTATTTTGCTCAGAAAGATTGGAACAAACTTTAAAGCTCAAAGTCTCCTGAGAATTTATTTTTAGCAAACTGAAAGAGGAGTTCTGTGGAAAGAGTATGTCCTTTCTGAGGCAAAATAGGAGAGGAAAATACTAACACATTCATTTGGCAAAACGTTTTTGAACAAACATTCAAGTGTATTTGTCTGACACATATAACAACAAAACACATACAAATGACCCAGAAAATAACTGTTAAAGTTGCTGGTTTAAAACTGCACAGCTTTTTACATGTTCTCTTTACCTCTTCAGTAACAGCAAGGAAAAAAATGCTGAAATATTTAGCTCCACTAATTCTTGAAAATGGATGTATAGGGTACAAACGTACCCTATAAATGTAAGGCAGTTAAGCAGTTCAAGTACTTACAACCAAACATTTGTAAACATAGCTGCTGTCCTGCAGTCTTTTGAAGAAAAAAGAAGCCTGTAAAGTCACGCCATGGGTATTCACTGCATAAAGCTTCCAAGAGATGAAACAAAAGAGAAAGCATACAGTGAGGAATACAGAGCCAGCCTGCCATACTAGTAAATAAATAGTGGAGGAGAGGTATATCTAAAGCATTCATTTTCTGTGACTAGGGGCTTAAAGTTTCATACAGTGATTCAGACTGCAGAGTCTGGGATTTACTGTTATTTTATGCAGGACTGGAGGAAGGCCAGCATGGGTTGGCGATCAACCAAACTAAGTCTTTCCACATGAGTTCACATGGTGCTCATTGGCTCCTTACATTGGTGCTGTGACTTTGCATAGACCAAACAGACCACCTAAAGCCAGTCTTCATGCTCACTGGCAAATTGGTGTAAGAAAATGGAAACCAACTGAGGAATATACCAAGAGCAAAGCTCAGCTGAAGAAGTAACATCTAACACTGGATTCAGAATTTGTGTCTAAGTATAACTGAGGATAGCTTTTAAAACAGCGATGATAATTGTTCTCTATAATCCTATAAAGTAAAAGTTTACCTCATCCTTCCTCAGAACTCTGGCATCATTGATCTGTTTGAAAAAAAAGATGTAAAGAGTAAACAACTCCATATTCAGATCTGATCTTGGAATTATGTCAGCTTCTATAGCACCAGGGCTGGGACTCCAACCATGTCATCCTCCAAAGCCAGAACTGTAGGGGAATAGATGAGATTCCCTCTCCTACTGAGGTCCTGCTGCACAAGACCACTCTATATTGGCAAATGAATCACAGAATGACTTGGATTGAAAGAGTTATAAAAGATCGTGTAGATTTAGCCCCCTGCAACCCCACTGCCATGGGCATGGCTGCCAGCCACCAGATCAGACTGCCTAGGCCCCCATCCAACCTGATCTTGAACACCTCCAGGGACAGCGCATCCAGAGCTTCTCTGGGCAGTCTGTGCCAGTGCCTCACCAATCTCTAAGTAAAAAAATGTCTTCCTAACATTTAACCTAAATCTACTCTCTTTTAGTTTAAAGACATTCCCCCTTCTCCTATCACTTTTAGATAAGGTAAAAAGTCAGTCTCCCTCCTGATTATAAGCTCTTTTTAAGTACTGGAAGGCCTCAGTGAGGTCTCCTCAGAACCTTCTTTTCTCCAAGCTAAACAAGCCCAGCTCCCAATGCTTGTCTTCATAACTGACATTCTCCAGCTTTCTGTTAATCTTTGTGGCCCTCCTCTAGACCTGCTCTGCATCATCTTTGTGTTGGGGCCCCAGGCATGGACACAGTACTCCCAGCTGGGCCTCTCAAGGGCAGAGGAGAGGGGGACAATCACCTCCCAGTCCTGATGGCTACTCTTTCTTTTGACGCAGCCCAGGATAACATTGATTTTTTCAGGCTTAAAGAACATATTGATGACTCATTTTCAGCTTTTCATCTATCAGGACCCCCAAGTCCTGCTCTCAATGAGTTCTCACAGTCTGCACACATATCAAGGATTGTTGCAATCCAAGTGCAATACCTTGTGCTTTGGACTATGCCAGCAAAAAGTTACTTTGGCTGCCTTTCCCCTTCTAAGTAGATCAACTAATGTTCTTGATTAATCTTCTTGATATGTCATCTGATTTTATGGTTTCATTTTTCTAAGTGTGTGTTATCACTTACTTTGCAACACTACTTATGCATACAAGGCTTTGTAGAGTTGTAGTATCAGGAGCTGGGAAGTTAGTGGCCTCCTAACTGCTTTTCATAGCTCTACACTGCTTCTGTGCACCATCAAAATTTGACCAAGCTTTAGTCATGCTGCTGAAGAAAGATGGGCTGCAGTATGAGAATCTGAAAAAAGGTTGCGGTACACTTTAAATGCTGATTGCATAGATTCCTTGTTTGATGTTAAGTAACATATAATCCCATAGAGTTGCAAGTCACATTTTTAAAAGACAGTTCTGCTTGTTTTTCTTCATGTAGGTTCATTGTGATGATGAGCCTATCTATTAATCTAAACATATATTCTTTTTTATTTCATTTCATACAGATGGAAATGAGGCAAATTTATAAATGTAGCTTTTGAAATGGTTTATTTATTTCACTTCACTCAATTTTGGAGTCCCAAAGAAAGACTGAGAGGCCTTTGTTCTACCACAAGGAAACTGTGCATGGTAGTTTTAAAGGAACTTCCCTCCAGTCATAGCCTGGCTTCAAAACAACAACAACAAAAAAACCAAAACAAAAAAATCCTCATTTCCTATATATTTGTTGAATTATTTATGTATGCACATAGATTACTTGTACTACTGAGACATTTAAACAATTTGCACTATATAGTTTTCAATTTTGCCTTAATTTTGTGTTCTATTGCACTGCAAACCAGCCACTGGATTTGCATAGTTCTCATGTAAGTTGCCTTTTATACCAGAAATTCTAACAATTGAATTTTGAAAGATTTTTCATACCTTAACTCAAAGCCCAGATGAAACTACATCAAAAGAATGTGAGGGCCTAGCACATTTAACTAGTCTTGTTCTTGTTCTTCTGGTGTAACTAAGACTTAGAATTTGAGCAGCAGATAGCAGAAAAAGAGGTAAGATAAATGAATTGAGAAAAGTGGGTTCTCACTGATGGGAAGAAGTGAGTAAATTGAGGTACAGAATGTGGAATAGAAAAAGACCAGATGCTGTCTGTTTATTTGTGGACTCATTTGACAGGCATCAGACTTAATGAAAAATCTAAGTTTTCTGAGATAAAATGTCAATTCTGCTGGGGTTTTTTGTCACTTTTTTTGATAGTATTGAAAATGATCTTCTGTGCTGGCTGCTGAACTTTAATTCGGTGGCAATGTTGAAATAAAACAGCTTTTTGTGATAGCTGATTTAGGAATGGAGTTAAATTTGCCAAAATCAGATTCTAGCTGGAAAAAATAGGTCAAACTGTATTTTATTTTTGTCTGTTTTGATAGAAGTGTTCCAAGAACCACATGGCAATTGCATGAAATCATAGACATTTTGGAAATACAGCAGAGCTAGAATAACACAGCCCTGAAAACAAAGTTCAGTGATGTACTGATGCTCCAACCAGACACATGTTGTAGTACTGAGGATTCAGCAGCTGTACTTCCAAGGTAGAGACCATGCTATGAGGCACAGGGAAAAGGGAATGCAGAAGAAGCAGCCCCCTGTAGCTGGCTGGCCAAAACCACCAGATCTTTTATGCCATAGGGCTGTTAAGTGCAGCCTGTCCTCAGCAGACCAGGATAGAGGATTGATAGCTGCAGCCAGCATCTCCTCACACTCTCAATACAAATCACCCACGAGCATGCAGCAAAGGAAGGGTGAGGGGAGTGCTCCTCTTCCACCTCCTGTGGAAGAAAAGATTGTCCAAACTGGAGGTGGGACCACTTGATCCTCCCACCTTTCCCCCCTCTTCCACACATGCTTTAATTTTTGTATCCCAGATCTTACTGAACAGTAGAGAACTCATTGTTATGTTAACCCAACTTGTTCCTTATATTCAAATATCAGTTCATTAATCTACTTAGTGCATTCCCTGTTTCATCCTTGCTTGCTCTGGGTTTCTGTGGTGTTGGTGAGGTGAACAGACAGCTTTGGGAAGTGAAATTTAGCAGAACAGTAGAAACAATTTTTTGTTCAGTAGGCATGAAGTAGAAGCCTGTATTTGATTCTTTTGGAAGGACTGAGAGAAGTTTTGTTTCTCCTTTTAAACTGCGTATAATAAAGATCTTCATCAGCAGGGTACAAAATCCTACAAGATCAGTAGGAGACTGATTGTATGAATGTCAGAAGAAAATAAGTAAAGAGAACAAATCAAAGGGAATCATAGAATCATAGAATAGTTTACGTTAGAAAGGATCCTAAAGATCATCTAGTTCCAACCCCCCTGCCATTACACAAATAAAGCTTAGTTTGTGAACAGTTTTGTGAGTGAGATCAGAAGACCTATGATATGGGCTTGTACAAACAGCATTCTTCCTGCCTGTTGTAATCACACCTTCCATTACATACTCAGAGCTTCATTCATGCTCTGGTTGTTTCCTGCCATGGATTTACTGAAGTGAAAGGCTGTGGTTCTGTGACAAACTGCAGGTCTGTCTTACTCTTGCCAGATACGCCTGCTATTGTGACTTTCATTTTGGCAGGCTTGCCTCTGGGCTTTTAGCTACAGCACATACATTGAGGTGAGTAACATGACCTAAGTCTGCTGCAAAGTGTGCCAGCTGGGATGAAAAAAAAAACAGTAAAACTTTTTCTCAAAGACCACAAGATATTCGAAATATGTGGGAAAAAAAAAAATCTAAGCAGATAGTGGAATTATCTACATTAAAAAAGTCATGATCTATAAATGTAGATAGATTTTTGTTTTCTTCTTAAGAAACACAGTGTGTATGAGAAGAGTTGGGTAGTGTATATTGTTTTGTTGATAAGAGCTTGATTAGAGCTGTGCAAAACTATGATTCTTTGCAGACTTAGGGAGACTGGCAGTAAAATTCTGCATAAAAGCCCACCCAGTCATTCCAAGGAGAGGAACTTGGCAGAAAAGTGCTGCCTCCTTTATATAGCATCTGCAAAGGCTCAGACACCCTATGTGAGAGCCATGTTGTACACTACACGTACGTGAGGTGAAGCAAAAGTCTGTGGAGTGAGAGGCCTTATCCATAGCAAGGACTGTGCCCCACCTGCCTGGCCTGCTTGCATCTCTGGCTCCAGACACATTCTACATTTCCTATGATGTCAAAAAATACAAAAATCAGCCCTCTGCAAAAGTATTTTGTCATCTTAAAACATGGAACTTCTAAGCCCTCTGCCACATGCTGGCTGCAGGCCAAGTATTCATTGATGGCTCTATGCAGCGTCAGAAATGCCCTTCAAAATTATTGGTACCTAAAATTTTGACTGTAAGATTTGTCCCAGTAATTACCTGGCATCTCACTGTTAAGTGAAATCACTGCTCCATGTCCCCCACAGACATCCCAGGCATAAGGAGGACCAGTTATCAAGGAGACTGTCTGTGGTGTTCTACGTGCAACCGGAGACCAAAGATACTGAGATGCCCCAAGTAGCCAAACGTCTCTGTGCCTCAAAACCTCCTGTAACTGAAAACAGTCTGGTAGCAAAACCTTTACTTTCTGTGGACTGTCAGAAAGCAACACACTTCTATTATTGTATATGCCCATTTCAAATTGCATTGCTTTATAATACCCTTTTGATTTATATAGGACAGGTGTGCTATAGGCACCTTTTACATAGGATATTGTCCAAACCCTCTCAAGTCATTAGTCAATCCTTTTTGCTGTTGTTACTTGATCCGAAGCCAGCGATATCAGCATGGCGTGAGCCTGAAGAGCTAGTGAGTACTGCAGTCTTTTCACTGTTGTACAGAAGTAATTTCATTTCATAAAACAAAAAATGCAAGATGAAACTGGGAGGGAATGTGATCATGAAGAAAAGGGCCACTGTGAAAAAAATACAGATAAAAGAAGCTAGAAGTATGCTATATTAGCACAGTAGAGAAAGACTAAAGATATATGTGATCTATGGTATTTCCCTTCTGTCTACAAAATCATACGTTGTCTCTCTTTCCTCGCTGACTTCTTTCCGGCCTTCTTCAACTAGCCTGTGAATTGTGCTATAATGCTGTTTGCTACTGCTGAAAGTGTAGAGCTGGGAAGCATCTTCCCATGCCTGAAAAGCTGGCAGGGGCATAACTTCTGGCTTCCTGTTCTCAAAAAAACACTTCAGATTTCGCTCGCTCAGCTTGGTGGCATACAGCTGGAAGGTCTGCTCCAGTTGCTCCTTCTCCTTCTCAGCATACACCTTCCAGAACATCAGCTGGAGATGGCTGACTTTCGACTGGCAGCTGGCACAGCAAGTGGTTAGCAGGGAGAAAAGAGCCACAGCCACTATCACACACCAACCTAAAATCTGGGAAAACAAAAGAAACAGACCTCAGGTTAAAGTTAAAACACTATTTAAGAATGTTTGTCAGAGTGATTGTGCTTTGTATAGCGGGCCTGCTGCTCTTCTAGGGAAGCTACCACAGACATCTTTGTAATTTTCATTTGTTGACTGACATTAGTGTTAATGGGGCTGTCACATCTGAATGAAAAGAAAGCAAAAGTCAGGACTCAGGCTTCTCTGTACTGTTCATTTTGATTGATGTCTCTTCCTCAGGAAAGTGAATGAAAGTTGCTCTTGAGGTAAAACTCTATAAAAATGTTGGCTTATACTGGAATCTGTCTGCCCACAAAGAGATAGGCTTTGCCTCAATTTTAAGTGATCCCATTTTATGTCAAAGGGAACTTGGATAACAGCAGCTGAAAAGACCAGTGCAAATGCAACAGCAAATTCATGAACAGATGAGCTCAAATCAGACCTCAGCTACAAGACCACACATAAAGAAAAATCTAAGAGAAGTCTAAATGATCAGTCAAATAATGCACCAGCTGAACAGTGTTATAAACAGATTGGACCTGAGAGCAAGGAATAGTGTCCGGACATGTAAAGAGGATTTTGATGAGGATTTATTGTAAAATATAGAGATCTGGTATGTAGTGTATTGGAATTGATCACTGAATTCTGCCACATAGAGGGAGAAGTGTACAGGTAGAATAAAATAATGTCATGATCACTGGACGGTAAATGGGTTTCTGTCTCTTGAGAATATTAAATAGAATCACTCAGCAAGAATTAGTATTAAGATACAGTTCTGAATTATGACTAACTAAAAAAACAAAATGGATAAGTAACTTTTTTCCCAATTCAATCAATCTTTTAAACTGTAAATATTTTTAAATGTGTTATTTTCAGATTTAATTAAAAACAAAACAAATCCCGTTTTAGCTAAATTACTTAGCAGGAATATATGTCTTAACATTAAAATCTTGACATAAATTCTTCCCAGACCCTTGCATTTCTTTTACTAGGAGATTCACTGAAATTTAACCCATTCTTGTGAGCTTTTTTGACTTTGATGAATCAGCCCTTTGTAGAGGAAAATCTTTTTTTATTCCAAAAATATTTTAAAATGTTCTTGCTCAGTTCTGTGACTAGAGAGAGCAAGAGAAAAAGGAAATTTCATGTTCATCAGCATGTCTGCCTTGGCACTGAAACAGAGCACAGCTCTTTTACACACTGAATAGAAATAGTTGCCATATTTTCAGAGATTCCTCAAATTTTCTTCAGCATCCCTCAAGTTCTTTGTAGCTACTTCTGAATTTTACCAAATTATGTTAAGAATTTTTTAAGGGAAAGAGCAACTTCCATGTTTAAGGAATGAGGGTGGAAAAATGTATGAGCAATTGTTTTTGTGGAATGACCTCCTTTAAAGAGAGCAGAGGTGTGGATGCAGGTTTTACATGCCTAATGCCACTGTCGTTGCCAACAGCTTCACCTGTCTATTCCACTGTGATATGTAACATTTGCAAAACATGCTTGTTTCCAAATGAAGGAACAAATTCCAGTGTGGAATAACTTGTTTAATTTTCAGAGACCCATATGAATTGGAACTGGTTTTCCATGCTCTGTCTTAATGGAGATGACACTAAGAGCAGCAATCTGCCTCATGGGAACTCTTGAAAGGATGTTAAAATAATAACTCCTGGTAAATCATTGTATTTAGCCAGTGGAAAACATGGAAATTTTCCCTGAGGAAACAGGGAAGACTGGCTAACAATTATTTTTAAGGACTATTATGATTTTGAATTATTTTATGCATTTTCTGCTAATTAAAATAACTAATTATGTCTATATGTTTTTAAAATATTGCTTTTTAGAAGCCCTTCACTCTTTTGCTATTTGGAGAATGAACCTATCTGTTCCCATGTTATACCCTGAGTCATTGGTCTTTCACTATTTCCTGTGGTGCATACAACTTCAAGTCTAAGATCTATTTGTTCTTTCTAAAACTCTTAATTAAATTCCTTTTCCTGCACTGCAGTCTTTGCCTGCATTCTGGTCCTATTTGCCTGAAGAAATGAAAATAAAAACAGCTCTTGGATAGGAAACAGTTCCAGATGAATACAGTCATCTAACAAAGACTTACAGGCTCCACAGAATGCTTCCTGACATATGCTGACAATCATCTTTCCATCATTTTCTATAGCGCTTTTTTCACCTTTCTTTCATTTTGGCTTTTCATCTCTAAGTTTATTTACATTACAAGACAATGAAAACAGCAGTAATGCACAAGTATAGCACAATGTAATCGCAGCCTTGCATTCTCTGGTTTTATTTTAGTGTTTCTTTCTTCTTCCAAGCAGGACAAAAAGATGCTTTCATCTGGCATCATAAACTTGAGAAATGCAAACAGAAACAAGTTATTTAGACAGTGAGTCACAAATCTGATTTTTCGGTATTTTCCTACTGCTAACGATCTCGATTTCCTTATGGTATATATAATGATATAAAAATAGGAGATGATTGTTATATGGGTTTGTAGTGTAAAAAACCCTCAGATAGGTTGACATCTGTTGATTTGGCTTCCTAAACAGACCAGTGTTGTTTTTTTCTTCAGAGCTCTCTTCTTTCAGAAAGACAGCTTTAAACTATCCGACTTTACTGATCCTTATTACACTGGCAACTTCCCCCCACCTTGAGACATGTCATCGTTCAAGCTGAATTAAAATAATATCAATTACTGAATTTGGCAGGGCTGCATCATAAGAAAGCTTTATGTGAAGCCAATGGTTTTACTTTAACACCTTCCATAGATGATTCACAGCAGCATTGCAAACTTTAATAACTTCTTACTTGTTTTCCTTACCTGGGAGTGTGCTTGCAGTGTTAGCTTGAGTTCCTCACTCTCTGAAAAGGACATGGTGCTTTTGCCACAGGACACCTTGTGCAGCTCCTCAAAGCACTTCACAGATTTGTTGTGGCAAATTGCATCTAAGTAGGCAGGATTTCTTAAGCCACTCATGGCACATTCATAAAAAGTCCCATTGAGCAAAGCCACAGAAAGCCACATCACTGGGGCTACCAGGGCATTTAAAGTGATTTGTCCAAAGATGATGAAGAAATGGCAGATATTCCCTTTGGGGAATATTTTTCTGGGGTTCACCCAGCAGCCTGTGAAGAGCTTCCAGGTCTTATTATTCAGGAAATATCCAAAAACAAGCAAAACAAAAGCTGGGGAGAAGAGAAAAACCAAACCATACTTGAAGTTTTCATTGCTGCAGGGGCATCTGAAAGCAACAAGAGAAAATGCACGTTCACTTCCCAGTGTCAGCAGAGCCATAACGCTGTAGCCAATAGCAGTTCTCCGGTTCATAAAGAATTTCAGGATTGTTCGGAAACCTTCCATGTTTGATACTCACCAAAGAGGTAAAAAACAAAACACTTATCTTCAACTGGAGCAACTTGTGGCTGTGTGTTAAAGGAGAGCTCTCCACAGACAGAACAGCTGTTGTGAACCTGGTGCCTCAGCACTGCCTGGGTCGCACAGTGATCTCACTGAAAATGCATGCAGATGGGACCTCTCCACCAGCAGAGCAGATGTTGCATATTTAAAGTAATACTAACCAGTAGAGGCAGAGAAGCAAACCCCGCCCTGTTATCAAATACATCCCAGTAGTTTTACCCTTTCTTCTTTTGTTTCAGTTGTAACTTTGTTTGTTTGTTTATTTATTTATTTATTTTGGCTGCACATGGAGAGCTGAGTAAACACACTCACAAAGTTGCAGGAATTCCTGAGCAGTGATTTTCAAAGTTGCTGGCAATGTAGGGCAACACAGAAGCCAGTATAGAACTAATGGCCCCAGAAGAGCATAACGACACTGTGAAAGCATGAGGGATTACAATACAACTGTTTTTTATGGGGCTGTAAATGCAGGAACATCAAGGACAGAACAAGTAGCCTTACAGTGTACTTCTCTGGAGTATCACGTAGCTCCAAATTTGTGAATATGATGGAACACAAAAGAGACAAATCTAGTATGATCTCAAGACTACCTGTTCCTTACCTCTATTTTCCTGAAGCAAAACTAGCGTGTAGGGTGTTGCATCCTAAAGTTTCTACTCTGGTCTATGCCCATCAGATTCAAGTGGCTGACTATCCTCCTTTTGCAGGTGGCTTTCAAGATGTACTTGGGGGTCACCCCCAGTGTGAGCTGCAGTAGTGCTGCAGGAAATGAATTCTCCTTAATCCTGGACAAAAACCCATTAGTGGACTTTGTGGAGGAGCTGCCAGTGGAACGAGCATCCCTTTGCTATTGCAACCTCCTCTGTGGAGTGATTCGAGGTGCCTTGGAAATGGTAAGGAAGCACACATCCCTTTTTTCCATTTTTTGTTAATGTGCAGAGGTGCAGGAGTGCTACACATCTTGCTCAAGGAAGCTTACTAGTATTAAATTTTTTTCTCAGATTTAATGTCTAAACTGAAATTGAAAGGGTCAGGCTGATCCTGAGATAAAGAAGAACACAGGCTGGCTCGCTAAGCACAGTCTTAGCTGGGCTCCTTTGAGGGCTGGTGGGACAAGGACCCAGCTAACAAAAAACAGGGGGAGTCAAGGTCCTGTTCTGGACTTGTCATCTGCTCCTTAATCCTATTTCATTTTTTCTGCATAGATTTTATTGGTAAAAATATCCCTGATTCTTTCTATCCTTGATGTATGAGGATCAGTAAAACTTTCTCATGTCACAGCAGTACAACTGCAGCATCATGTGAAAGTGAGAACAGAACGTGGATGCAGAGAACATAAAAACCAACTAATCAGAACTATACTGGATGACATTCCAAATCATTTAAGGCTTTTACAGAATAATACACAAAGGCCATATCTGAATGTCACTGAGCTGTAGAGCTTCTGTCTCACTTTCTGGAAGATAACATTTGGGCTGCATTGTTTTTGTTAATGAGTATCTGATTTGTCGTATGTCTTATGTTTCAAGAAAGTGAAAATTGTGTAAGTATTATTTATATAAATCAGTCTCAGAATCATAATGTGTGATATATATATATATGATATCCGGCCAATTAACAAAAGTGTTAATAACTTTAGTATGTGATCAGGAAATTTTGTGATCACAAAATCAAGTACACATCTTTAGTTCTCGGAGCAGAGCAAAGCAAAGTACTGGACTGATGATTAAAATATGCTAATTCTAGTATATAGGCTTCCTTTCTATTAATTTGGTTTGAAATATATTTTTTAAAATTTGGAAATCTGTTTTTTACAAAACTTGTAAAAGAGGGTCCCCTTGTGGTAAGAGAGAGGTAAGAATACTGTTACACCAGAGGAAGGAGACAAACTGAGTGCTTCTTTGCTTCTTCCTAGGTTCACTTGGCAGCAGAAGTGACCTTTCTGCAAGACAAGCTGAAGGGTGATGCTGTGACAGAAATAGGAATTACATTTTTAAGGAAGACTGAAGACAAGAAAGCAAAAAAGAAATAAATGAAAGAAAATATCAAGATAAACCTTTGTTAAGTGATGTTCTAGACCTTTTGTTTCTGAAGATGAAATGCAGAGTAGAAATGTTTCCTTGAGTCATCTGCACCACTCAGATGTTGGAAGGGTGAAGAAATCTAGAAAGCAAAGATGAGGTCAGAGTAAAAATCTTAATCCTCATGGCACAGGTATGAGTACAAAAGATCAAAATGTCTCTGCTCTTACTTTTCACATAAGCATACTCTTGAACAAAATGGATGCTTTATTTCAGTATTCAGTGCACGCTGGGTGCAAAATATTCATTCAGACACCTAATGTTTTCAATGTTTTCAGGTGAACATGACTTTGTTTTTCCTTTTTTTTTTTTTTTTCTTTTCTTTTTTCTTTTTTTGGGTGATGTTTAAAAGCATAGTTAGTAAGATATGCTTTATTTCCCTGTCTGACTGTGGTTAAGAATAATAAATCCTACAATATGCAGTTTCTCACTGTGAGGTGTCTGCTTTGGTTTGCCACTCACTCACTGTCCTTTACATTGGGCATCCTCCTGCCTTTCATTGAATCATAGAACCATAGAATCATAGAATCCTTAGAGTTGGAAAGGACCTTTCAAGGTCACAAGTCCCCAGCAATGAACAAGGACACCACAGCTAGATCAGGTTGCCCAGGGCCTGATCCAGCCTCTCCTTGAAAGTCACCAGGGATGGGACATCAACCACACCTCTGGGCAATCTGTTCCACTGCCTCACCACCCTTACTGTAAAAGATCTTTTCCTTATATCCAACCTAAATCTACCCTCTTTATGCTTGAAGCCATTTCCCCTTGTTCCATCACCACAGACACTGCTGAAGAGTCTGTACCCTTCTTTACTGTATCACCTCTTTAGATACTGAAAGGCCACTATCAGGTCACCTCACAGCCTTCTCTTCTCCAGGCTGAACAACCCCAGCTCTCTCAGCCTGTCCTCAGAGGAGAGGTGTTCCATCCCTTGGACCATTTTTGTGGCCTTCCTCTGGATATGCTCCAACAGGTCTGTGTCTCTCCTGTACTGAGGATGCCACATCTTGATGCAGTACTCCAGGTGAGGCCTCACCAGCACAGAGTAGAGGGGCAGGACCTGCTGGCCACACTTCTTTTGAGGCAGCCTGGGATACAATTGGCTTTCTGGGCTGAGAGGGCACATTACCAGTTCATGTCCAGCTTGCCATCCACCAGTACTCTCAGGTCATTTTGGCAGGACTGTACTCAATCCTTTCATCTCCCCAGGCTGTATTGGCAGAGAGGGTTGTTTAGGAGTGTTCCAGCTGAGCTGGGGTGCCTTGTGCGAGTGTCAAGTGCTCAAGTGAGCTCAGAGATGTCAGTGTCAGATTTTCCTTTGATTGACAGGTAGGTACCTGTGGCATGGCAACAGCTTTTAGATATCTCTCTAGATGTGGGGAAGTTCTGAACGTTGCTGCTGAAGAGGAGGGAAGTGATCAACAGAGTGAAGATGCAATTTTATCCACAAAAGAGGGCAGTGGCATCATCCTACAGATGTGTTTGGGAGTAGAAAATGGCAAAAGCCCAACTGGTAAAACTGGGAGGATGAACACAGTTTCAGACAGCATTTTAACTGGACCTTCTCATCAGGGGTAGAAAAAAGGCATAACCTTTCTCTAGATGCTTTCGGGCTATCCTGAACAATTTTACTGTGTCTCTATGGCAAAGCCTGGCCCCACTGAGTCAAGGAACATCTTGCTGCTGATTTCAGGGGCCATTGTTACCTTCCAATTTACAACACTCCAGAGCAGATTTATTGCCTCCTAGATGTCAGTGAACAATGGAGTTATTTAATAGGAGAGGTGAACTGAAACATTTTAAGCATAACTGTGTTCCTGGAGGCAAAAATAACAAATTGGACACTTGTTACTGTCATGACCCAACTCCAAACAGCCCTGGGAAACATACAGTTGTTGCAAGGTTTGGGATACCTTTTGATTACATGAAGGTGAAATGATACCAATCAGTTAAATGTTTATTTGTACCCTACTATGATACTTAGATTAATATATCTACGCTTTATCAGCAATAAGCTTGCATAATAAGGCTTGTGAAGCATTCTAATATAACTTAAAAGAAAGAGAAAGATACAGAGAGATGACCCTTGGATCCAGCAATCTCTCAGTAGTCAGGGTGGTTCAATCAGTGGTGGGCACAAACACAGACTTGACAGTCTTTTGCCTTTTATGCGACTGTGTCCCCTTCTCCACTTACTAAGGGGGAACTCAGTCACTACGTGAACATGTCCAGTACTTCTTCAGAATGTCCCAGAAATGAGTCTGGTCATCAGGCCCCCTGTAACATTGTAATTGAGTTATGCTTTTATCCCTGTGCAAGTGCAGATTGAGTTTTAGAATATTCTGAAAATGAGTTGGTGAGTTCAAGGTGTCAGGGAGTCTCATTCTTCTCCTGGCCACTGATTGACCATCTTTGACACACAGGCATAGTTTGGGAGATTTCTCCCTCCCCGACTAAGTTTCCAAGTAATAGTTTACTATTATCTATATCTATATCTATAAACAGAGGATTTCAAGGAGATGTGAAAGGACAGCCTTTATCAAGCAGACCGACTCATTTCTTGTGAATATAATGCTCTTAAAGAAAAACCGAACTCTATCATCCTTCATTCAAAACTTGTATTGGTTTCTTATCATTCGAGGCTCTTCGATAAAAACATTGCTGATAGCTAACAGGGATTGCAGATTTATAACATCCCTACAGCTATGGTGTAAAAATCTGTTAACATAAGCTTCACTTATGCTACCATGTTATGCATAAGCCTAATGTTAATTTTCACTTGGACACCATTTTAGATCAAGTTAAACAGTTTATATGGTGGATACACCCAAGAAAAGCTTAAGTACTGATGACAGGGCCAGAACTCTGCATAGTATTATATACATAGTAAATAGATATGCGTCAGATAAAAATAGAAATCAATATAAATGGAATATAAACTGGAAATTTAATGTTGTTTTTCTTTTCTTGAAACATTCCAAAACCTATTTTTTTTTCCATGGAAGAGTTTTAGGGTAACAGGAAATGAGTAATAAAGCTAATTAAAAAATCCTGTCGCAGAAAGTGATCAAGATCAGACAGGGGTAAAGAAAATTCAAAACTGAAGTTTTCAGTTGCACTGTTTTTACCTAAAGCAGCTGGAGACATAGGAGTAACTTGCTGGAATTGTTTTGCTCACTTATTCCAGCTGATGACCAGCTGAAGTCACTCTTTATATATCTAGTCTTTACGTGCATGTAGCTCCAAGATGTTAACTGCATCCTGGATCTTGAAAGACATCTTCCTTGCCTTGAGAAATTGTCTGATAGTGAATATCTTAGACTTGACCTTGCTCTAGCCTCCATTGAAAAATATATTGTTAAGTAAAATGATAGCTAATAAACTAATTGAAAATTCTGGTCCAAATTTCCATTCCTTTTTGCCTCTTTGTTACTGAAAGGCATAAATGTTTGGTTTTGTCACTCCAGCTGCCAAATGCCCTTAAGATATTTGGTAGTAATCACATAGTATTAGCTGACATCTTTGCTGTGGATGTTTACTGTTTCACATATGACTTTTTCTTAATGATCATTGACATAACAAAAATAATAATAATAATAATAATCCCATTGTGAACCATACGCTTATTTAAATGTACTTAAGCAAAAGTATGAAGTTTATTTTAAAAAAGTCTCCCGGGGTTTACAGTACCAGCCTTTAGCATACAGTTCTCATTGATTTCAGTAAGAGCACAGAATAAAGCTTCTTTTAGATCAGTAAGGTTAAAAGATTACCAGTGTTACAAAGTGTTTTTTTTACTAAAACCCTTGCTCATTTATATGTGCTTCATCCACAAACCTTAAAACACAGGAAATTTGATCTCTTTCACCGGATGTACTGATTTTGCCTCTGTTTGCATTAATGTATTTGTGTATCATGCTGTAACACTGATCATTCTTACTGAAGGCATACGGGAGTGAAATCTCCTGCCAGTCTTCATTGCTGGGGGTTTGAAATGGCGGTGGGTTGGTGGCTTCAAAAAAGCAATTTATGTTTCTTTTGGCCAACTGGGTTGCATGTTCTTTAGCCTTGGTTTCGAAGTGCTCTCGTTCCTTTTCCAAATAAATTTTCCAGAACTTCAGCTGAAAATAGCTAACTGGGAAGAAACAGCGGCTGATACACTTTGAAATGAATGCCACAGTAATGATGGTGACTATCAGCAACCATCCTAGAATCTTGAAAAATAAATAAATGGGTTATTAGTGTTTTCACATAGCCCTGCGCGAGAGTATAGAACAAAACATTGAATCAGACATGGAAGCAATGCTTTGTAGGCAGAACAAAGACTTGGCTATTAAATAAGAAATCTTTCCTATTTTGTATAGAATGTTGTCATCCACACCACTTTTTGGCTCGTAATTTTGCTGAAAGTAGGTCAGATACAAGAAATTAAATATATGATCTCATATGTCTTCCATTTGTATTTGACCAGTCTGTTTCTTTTAGATTTCACTGAAAAATCAATAACAGTCAATCTTCCTCAATTTTGCTCCTTTTTTACTCTGTCAGAATTCAGTGATATAGAATCTGCTCTTTTTCAGCTTTTTCTTGAAGGAGCCACATGCTAAATATCTAACAAATTTAAACACTTTGTGTGTGTAATTATAATCTCCTGCAAACTTAACTACATTAATCAGTATTAATGTTTTCCTGAAGAAGTGATAATAAATTAATTTTCTCCTGGAGTCAAGGGGAACAAGCTTGAAACAAAACTGGAGTGCTGCCAAATCACTTTGGTTTCGTTTCACTCCAAATGGAAAAAAAAATCTACTCAGAAGAGCTATTTTTTATTACAGCACAAGAAGGAAACTGTAACAAGATGCACATGTATTTTAACTGTTCACCTACATTATAAGTGTGAAATTAATAATAGAGTCAAGCTTTTAGGTTCATGGTCACACAAGCTGTCCTTCTTTGTTTCACTTGTTAGCTCATCCTGTTGCAGTGAGGTGTTGGCTTCCCCTATGCTAATGATTTCAGCTTCCTCTCAGCTAGTGCATACATAAATAAGCCTGAGATCTTTGGAAGAGTAACAGAGAAAAGCTTGCACCAGGCATAATCAGAACAAGAAAAGCTGCAGTGGAAAGTGCTGATATCTAGGCTGGTCTACTGCCCAGACAAATGCTTTGCCATTGCCAGTGCCAAGAAATTACTATGCAAATACTGAAAAGAGAAACTAGCACAAAATAGTCACTTGTTGCCTTTCTGTGTTAGTGTTTTTTGACCAAAGAATTTTTGCTAACCACGTGCTTTTGCTAGCAGGTACCAGTGTGTGTGAAGCAGGCAAAGCAGGAGTCCTTAGGGGAAGAGCAGAGCATAGAGGTCTTACCTGAGACTGTGCTCGAAAGCTGACAAGTCCACCTTTAGAAGTTGAATTCTCATTCAGCAGTTGTCTGACAACGTTCTCATCACAGGGTATTTTCTCCAGCAGCTCCCAGCATGCTTCAGGGTTGTCCATGTCCGTGCACACCTGGTTCCTGATGAGGCTGCTCCCGCTGGCTGCGCACTCATAGAAACTTGCGCTGAGCAGGGCCACTGCAATCCAGGTGAGAGGGGCCACCAAGATGCTGACTGTCACCGGTGCCAGCACTTTCAGGTAGAAGCAGCCTTTTCCCCAAGAGCCACAGCAGTGTTTCTTCTCTAGAGAGCAGCTGCCTGTAAGCAGGAGCCAAGTCCTTGCATTCACCATGTAGCCAAACAGAAAGAGAAGGAGGGCTGGCACTAGGAGGAAGACACAGCCATACAGGGTGTTCCAAGAGTTGCAGGGACACCTGAAGGCCACCAAGGAAAAGATTTGCTCACTGGCAATTGTCAGCAGGGACACAACGCTGTAACCCAGAGTCTTTTGGTAGCAGATACAAAAATTCATCGCTGTGCGCAGTTTTTCCATTTTCTGCTGAAGGCTCCAGTGGCCTCTCTGTATTTTGAGGGCAGTGCAGTCACAGCCAGTAAAAGAAAAGAAGAAAAGTAGTTCCTCAAATCCCACAGCTTTTAAAGACTTTCACAGAGCTTTCACTTTTTGTGAAAGTGAAACACCTTCACTTTCTGTTAGCGATTTTGAAACAGTTTCTTAGGAGAAAGTACAGAAGTGCATGAACTCACTGCACTGTGTGACAGTCAAGTAAAAACTCACTACAGTGGAGATCAGCACTAAAATAGCACTGAAATGTCTTTTTCTCCAAGAAAATAGCTTAAATTTGTCCTCTATAACTAACAGTGGCTTAATTTTCATAGGCTTCTCAGGGAAGCTTTTGTATGAGGCATCACACTCAAAGTATTAACAAAGTGTGAGAAAACCACTTTCAGTTTTGTTCACTGTCATCTTTCTGCCACAACCGTTTACCCAGGATTTTTGGTTCAAATTTATCTGCTCTCATGAACTGGGAACCAACCTTCAAACCTATTTGGTTGTGTCAGTGCTATGAATTCATTCTGAATAGAATCTGAATGCTGTTATCTACGCTGCACTGTTTCTTACTGGGCATTATCATGGCACATAGGTTAACCACAAACCCCAGGATGTGCACTCACAGCCCAACTAGATTTTCATAGAGACTATTTCAAGAAAGTTCACCAGGTGTAATGGTGGCGGTGGCTGTAACCTTCCAGTCTTCTATTTTTATGGTTTGAGAGATGGTCCTCAAAAACTAGGTGATGAAGTAGCATGGGGCTTTTTGGGTTGTTACTCTTGCTACAACATTTCTGTGACTGCAAATAGACAGTATCCATTCCCATGTTATGTTTAAAAGAAGGAAAAGAATAATAGTATAAAATGGAGTATATAAAATGATGACATTCTGGTGAGCCCCATGATGAACAGGTAACTTCTTTAAGACTTAGCTGAAGGTGCTAGTATGGCATTTGCTCTTCACAGATTAGTGACATACATGGCCATCTAAGTAAGCTATCACATATATTACTTTCCCTTAACATAGAAAAAGCATATCCTTCTTCAAAAGGAAATAGAGACCTATTTTTCAGAAAATGGTATGTTTTTTTTTTCTGGTTGGATTCTCTTGGTGCATGATGGTGTTTCTTTTCATCTAGCCACTAAAGCTCCCATTGTGGTTGGCTCCTGAAAGGGAACATAAAACTCAGGAATAACTAGTTTTTATAAGTATAGACTTGGATTTGCTGAAAAGGTTGTTTGGTTTCTTTCCATTTATGTACCATTTCTTTGCACAATATGTAAAGAGCTAACAAAAGCTAGAGCATGAAATATCCCTTGATGACACTACATGGGGTTTTGAGAAAGTCTGGGATAAGCTGACCTCATGGTTACCTGATTGGTCTTGATTGAAGAAACTGTTTATTGATAATCTTTGTTGTTGTTGTTGTTGTTTGTTTGTTTGTTTTTGTTTTTGTTTTTTTAATTGCTGTATGTATAATTGCAATTATAATGATACAGGGCTGCAATTGTTGTTCTGATTGTTGCTGGAGTTATAATAAATGGATACAATAAAGGTCATAGCATGTTAGCTACAATCTTCAAAAGAAAAGGAGGGATTGAAACAAGATGTAGTGATATTGTTAAGCCTGCTACTGCTCACTGACGGATAGCCCTTTAGATGGTCTAGAAAACAGGAAGAATCTGTGCCTTTGTACCAAGTAGATAACAATGGTACATTGACCCCTTATACCAGGCAGTTTAGAGAGTTCCTTGTCTGCTGGGCTGCATACCTTTTTAACCCATATTGCCACCTGTACCATTCTCCAGGATACAAGTACCAGTTTTGACATGAGGGGATGAAGCCGGGGTTTACCAGACTTACGCTGGAGGTGCAGCCAGGTCAGTTTTCTACAGTGCCATAATGATATTATTTTCTATTTTGTTGTAACAGTTTCTAGAATTTGAATGGCTTTTTTCTTTTTTTTTTTCTTTTTTTTTTTTTTTTTTATCATGCTTGAAACACTGAGCTGATATTGTAGTGAGATTTAATTTAATACAAGTTCTAAGCAATATTTTCATTCAGCTCAGAGTCTATCTGTTTATGTATGAAGAGAGGACTGAATTTCACCCTGAACACCAGTTTGCCTGCTCCTGTCATTTTGCTTTCTGGTCTAGTGAGACATACAAACAGTTCTTTTATCAGCAGTTTGTTTTTAACTGTGTAGAATAAATTCATATAATTAGCAAATATCACAGTTTTGATTTTCACCCCCCTCCAGGTCACTTAAAAGATACAAGCAGTATTGTTCATAGTACAGATGCACTACTTTTTCCAATTTTCAGCAAACTTAAAACTCCGTAAGGACTTTCTCTCTTAACTTTTTTTCTTAAATTCTGCAAGACAAACTGTCAAATATGCCTTTTGAAATCCAACTAGAACCAAGTCAGATTAATTTGCCTTCAGGTTTACATATGTTTATTCTATTCTTATTCTTTAATATAATTTCTACCTATTTGCCAAGAAGTAGATACTTTCATTTTACAATTTATATTAATATCAATATTCGAACTTCTAGGGGAAAAAAAACAGGCTGTTTTTTCACAACCTCTTACCAGACAAGAGGAGTGGGATGAGGAAGTTTCAAAGTTTCAGAAAGCATGACACAGAATAAGTTCTTTTTTTTTTTTTTCTCCACTTTGAAGAACTGCCCTATTTTTCAAACTCAAGATAAAAATCCCCTACAAACTATGAGAAATGATGTCTGTCCCTACATAGATAATGTGCGATTTAGTAGCTGCTTATAGTTGGAGGCAATGTTTATCGGACCTTGAAACTAGAATTCTTTGTGTCTGGACCAATGTTGGGAGGTGCTGGGATGAAAGAGAATAGTGCGAGCTCTGGATTTGCTTCTACATGCTCTGAAAGTGATATGCTTATAGTGCTCAAGTCACATCTGCAATCACTTTAATCATCGATCACAGCAAAACAAAATCACAATCATATTTAAGTCAGACAGATGGCCAGCTGAACAACATTACCAGCAAAAATGTACCTCTCATCACCTCTTATACAGAATTTTTTAAAGTAAAAAGCAGAGGCTGTGTCTGAGAACCACCAGCTGAACAATCCTTATGACCAGGAGCAGATAATATCCACACAGTGGAAAGACAGCAGCCAAGGAACCCCACAACTTCACTGAGGTGCATTAAAAAGAGCATGGCCAGCATGTCAAGGGAAGTGATCCTCCCCTTCTACTCTGCCCTGATCGGGCCACATCTGAAGCACTTTGTCCAGTTCTGGACTCCTCAATTCAAAAAAGTCAGGGAACTTTTGGACAGAGTCCAGGGGAGGGCCACAAAGATGAAAAAGGGCCTGGACCATCTCTCTTGTAAGGAATAGCTGAGAGACCTGGAGTGTCCAGCCTGGAGAAGAGACAACTGAGGGGAGATTTTATCAATGCTTATAAATATCTAAAGAGCATTAGTCAGGTGGATGGGGCCAGGTTCTTTTCAATGGAGCCCAGTGACAGAACAAGGACCAATGGGCACAAACTAGAACACAGGAAATTCCACACAAGTACGAGGAAAAACTTCACTGTGAGGGTGACAGAGCACTGGAACAGGATGCCCAGAGAGGTTGTAGAGACTCTTTCCCTGAAGATATTCAAGATCCATCTGGATGCTTTCCTCTGCAACTTACTCTACAGAACCTGCTTTAGCAGGTTGAACTTGATGATCTTGAGGTCCCCTACGATTCTCCAACCCCTACACTTCTATGATTCTGTGATTCACCCAAGACTACTTTTAGCATTCTTTTATTTCTCTGTAATAAGATATATGATTTCAGGAAAAAGCTTCATCTAAAAAGGGAAGGAAGCTCTCTGTGAATAAGAATTAATCCTCCCCTCTGAGCAAACACATTTTCAGTAAATACTATAGAGATGTGGGTGAAGGAGAAGAGACCACCCTGATTGGAAGGAGGGGAATGCTTGTGCCGTGAGTCAGGCTGAGGGGCAGCAATGGTCCTGCCAGAGAGAACATTGGGCAGCCTTGAAGAACTAGGAGTCTGGAGATGGAAAGGCAGAGGAACTGCAGAGCTGCAAGGCCATGCTGCTGTTAGCTTCCTATTCACCTCTGTACATTGTTCTCTCAGGGCAGCTATTTTCTGTTCATTGAATTAACACTTCTGTCTCCACAGTAGTTGCAAAGCATTAACTGGAAGTGTTCAGAAAAACAGTTCTCTTTTAAAGAACTCAGAATTCCAATTTAATGGGTGTTTTTGCATTTATTCACATTAAATTTTGTGCCTACCAAGTGGGATAAAAACAATGCCATGGTGAAAACAGAGAGAAGTTTAAAAAAAAAAGAAAAAAAGGTGATTTTGTTATTTGAAATATCCTTTTATTTTGAAGTATGCTTTACTGAAATGAAAAAATCAGCTCAAAACAAATCAACTTGTTCAAAGTTTCAAGAAGTTTCTCTTTAATGTTTTAAATTATATCCCTTCTTTTGCAGCTGAGTGAGTCTTGCATACTTTTTGAGAGGAAATAGCTGTAGTCCAACTAGTTATGCTGTTATACCAAATGTGTGATACTGTTCTTGAATGCACCACATGTGTGCATGTTCACTGCAGGATTTGTCAGTAAATATTGAGAGGATCTTGTTTTATGTTACATCATTTTTTGCAAACCATTCTTTTTCTAGCTGTTTCTATGAAAGTTCATTGTGTTTTAAGTTTGTCATTAGTCTTATCAAGCTCAAATTAATCTTCACTTTATTAACCCAAAAGCCATGGGCAGAATGGAGCTGGAGCTCTACAGTGCTGCCAATGGGTTTTATTTTTATAACAACTGGACTCGTTTCTTCAAGTGAAAGAATTGCAAGCTGTATTTTCAGTGCCCAATTAAGAAAGAGAGACAGAATGGTCTTTCTGCCCTAGGAAAATTCTTGTAATGCTTTTTGTCTCTTTAAAGCTTTACTAGTGGCAGTTTTGTCTGCACACAGACCCACACCTCCCCTCCAGGTGGACAGACCTTCCCTGGAGGCCC